CTATTGTCACCCAGATATTAACGTCCTAATGTAAAATCGATGCATTTCTAATCTTATCTAAATTATGTATATTTTTGTTCAGATAATGAATGCAAATTAGTCATTGTTTAAAACTCACATTAGCTTAAAGTGGCTCATTCTTGGTTAGCGGTACTTCATGTTTTTGAAGTTGCATTCTTCAAGATCTTATGTATCTTAAACAAATTGCTAACGATAAGGTGTCATGCATGGGTAAATCTATCTTAATTGTACGTATGTCCTGATTAATGCGACTTAATTAGTAACAAGACTTAACAGAATTGTATGTTAACTACCGTATACCATTTTTGAAATAAATTTTGAATATAATATTAGCATATTTGTTGAAATTCTGTAAATCTGAATTTATTTATTATTAATATTTTTCATGTCCATATCACATTTACACATATCGTTGGCGGTCTTTGACGTTTTTCTATGAGGTTATCTCTCTAAAGAGCCACGTTTATGATTTACTAATAGGAATAAAACTAAAGAGGAATAAAGACGTATTTTTTTGCGTTCCATGTTTTATTGTAATTATGCATTATTTTTTGCCTAATTTCGTTATTACAGATTTCTCACATTGAATTATTCATTTTTTAATGAATCTATAATTTCATCCAATTTCGGTATCGCTTTAATTAACCGATTTATTTATGAAACAAAGACAATAGGGCCTAACTATTATAATTGTTGTGTGATAAATGTGTTAGTTTAGGTTTTAGCCTATAGACCTACTAAATATATTTTGATAGGTAAAGGTTTAGTAGCACAAACGTTAGACCTACTGCTTATGAAACATACGTATGTATTAGGCGAGACGATACTAATGATTTCGAATATCAATTCAATTTTATTTTAGGCTAATTAGCCCACCACCGCCACTATAGAATGTAAATTTAAGAAAAAAATGGAAGCTTTTCTTTATTTTTTTTATACCTTGAAATCTATTTCTATTTGGTTATCTTATTGTATAAACGAAGCTCACATACAAACTAGTCTGTTGCAGCATACGCTGAATTGAAAGACTGAATATAAAATTACAAAAATATAAAATTGGTAATTAAATATTTACAATCATTGTTAAAATATTGCAATATTAAATATGAAACTTAAAATTAGAAACATTAAAAAGACAGACGAAGTAAAACATTACAAATATAATAATAATAATAATAATAATAGTAGTAAATTTAGCCACTGAATCAGTTATTGGCAGCCATTTACTAGAAAATCTAGTTGGCATATTACATCTCATGATATTCTTAAAGTGTATTATATTAAATTATATTGTATTATATTATATTATATTATGTTGTGAATACATATTAATTAGAAACATTAGCACTTAACTAATTTAACTATTTAAAGAGAATCCTGCGGTCGTGCATTTTCTTTAGAATACTTACCATTCCTTTCTTTTTCTTTTCCATTCCAATTACGCTGAGCTACTTCTTTTTTTTTAACAAGAGTTACATAAGAAGAAATACAAGACAAAATTAACAATTTAAGTTTAAGTCAATATAATACAATTTTTTACTTAAAAAATATACAATATTAAATCGTAAACACTGTAAAAATAACACACAAAAACACAGAAAAAAAACCGCTCTGTCAATCTACAGGCAAGGCGCCTCTGTGTCAAATGCTCAGACTGAAGAGACCACCGACCTCAGGGTCTCACTACTAAGTGAGTTCAGGATTTTTGTCATATTAGGCCTATATGTTAACGGGCTATTGATAAAATATCGTGTTTTAGTGCTTTCATATTCTTTGTATGGCTTACTTGTGCGTAGTGTCATGGTATGACATGCATTATTAATTGGGAACCAGTTGTGAAGTCTATTAGATTTCATAACTGCAAAATGGCATCACCATAATAAGTGAATTTATCGGCCTGAATGCACCGACACATCCGAATTTGGATGCGCTCAATCGTCATGCTTTGTTGTTTAGTTAAGCCAGGGTGCTACAGAGGTGCAGCGTACTCAAGTACAAGCCGTACATAACTCATGTAGATAGACAGGAGTTTATCACAGTTGAAACCGGCTCTCCTCAATGACCACAAAATAAAGTTTACAATTGACTTTGGCAATGACAGTGTCAGTATGATTTGACCACTTGAGGTCATTACCAAAAACCACCCTCAGTAACTTTACTGAGTTTACAGCAGGAAGAGTTTAATTTGATATGTGGAGGCTGATATTTGGAAGTGGTCGACGACCAAAGTTAAATCTAATCACCTGGTATTTGGAAAAGTTAAGCTTAAGATTATTATCCTTGGTCCAGCTGTAAAGGGTGTCGAGTACTGCTTGCAAATTACCAGTTTGACCAAATTTAGTTGTTTCACCTATTGTTTGGTCATCAACATACTTCCATGCATCAGCTCCCAAAGTCTCGACATTCTGTAAAGAGTCATTGACATAAATTAAAAAAAATTAACACTGCTAATAGAGTTCCCTGGGGAACACCACCTGTGAGGGTAACCCATTCAGATAAAGCCCCCTTGTAAATAACACTCTGAGTCCTTTGGGAGATAAAACTGACAATCCACTGATCATGAACTATTTCAGGCGGGACATTCATTTGCAAAAGTTTGTCAAAGGCAATGGTGTGATCCACCATTATCGAAAGCCTTGGAGAAGTCGGTCAACACAAGCGTGCTGGTATTGGCCGGCCTCTCCAAGGCACCCATGACATTGTGGTAAATATTAATTAGACAATTAGTGGTTGATACACCCTTCTGGTTATCATATTGTCGAATCTAAACTACTAGCTATTTTATCAGAGACCATTTTTGCAACTCTGCATTCAGCAATTTTTTTCTAGAGTTGGAGTTAAAGAGACAGGGCGCAATGTGTCAATGGTAGCCGGCCGGGTATTGTTTTGGTACTGGGACGACATTACCCTTTGTCCACTGTGCGGGTACTTTTGCCTGCGCCAGTGAAGTGTTGATAATGTCTGTAATAGGAATACTGAGCTCAGAAGCACATTCTTGTAAGATCTTGCGAGGAATATTATCAGGTCCTCCAGCCTTCTTAATATTGATACTTCTTAAATCAATAAATATTTCCCAGGGTTCAAACTGGGGAGGTGGCATAGAAGTAGATGCTGAAAGGTCATCAATACAGATAGGATCATGTAGTTGAGAGAAGCTGGGTAAATGAACGTTGATAGCATTAGCAGCAGCTGCAAATTCATCAGGATTGATGTTAGGTATATAATTATAGTTGGATCTTTCTTGGTGATGTTAGCAGCCATACGGACCTCTCCATGCCACCTCCTAGGGTCAGACTGACGTAGTGGTCTGACATTTCTGGCATTTAATTTTTCTTTGGCTTTCATAATTTCATAAAGAATTAGGTTTCTCAGCTTTTTTCTACGGGGCTCATTACCAGCCTTGGATGCTCTCTGTCTGAACTTTATCAATTTCTTGGTTCTAGCATTTATCCAGGGCTTATCGTTAATATGGCATTCAAGTATGTTTGCAAGGAGAAACTTATCGATAGCAGACTGCATCTTATGTTCTGTCCTGGCCCATCTGCCCAGATGAATTAATTTAGACTCTGGTATTGGTCTGATGGGTCTGACTACTATAGAGTTATTACTTTTAAAAACCTTAGGGGTTAGAGTTATCACGTTGTGGTCACTGCGTCCAATTGGTGCAGTGATTAGAGGGCTTTGATATAAATCATTCAAGTTTGTTAGTTAGTTTTGAATAAAGTATACCTGAATATATGTTAGGCCAGGCTATAATTGAGATAGGTGCCACTTGGAGAGGTAGAAATTCTCAAATGGTTTTTCTAGACAAGTTTTTGTTTTTATAGGAAATCAGAATATGTGAGGTAAAAAGGGTGTAACATGAGAACTTTCGCATGAGGGCGCTTTTTCAAAATGGCCGCCAAAATCCAATAAACTACATATATATATATATATATATATATATATATGGGTAAAACAAGCACAGAAGAGGTGGGTTTGACCAACTTCTGAATATATAATGATATGAGTAAAGTATAACTATAACTAGCTAAAATTATTAATGTAAATATGAGAATTTCTACCTTTCCAAGTGGCACCTATCCCAATTATAGCCTGGTATATGTTCATATTTCGAAGGGAGATAAACATTAGCAAGAACAAGATAGGGCGATTATCTAGGAAAACGTGGTTGCCTGACAACGAACCATTACTCTTCAATATCATCAGGGACGTTATTATTATTATTATTATTATTATTATTATTATTATTATTATTAGGCCTATTATTATTATTATTATTATTATTATTAATTTTATTTTCTCGTTCGTCTGGATGTTTTTGGAAAAACTATTTGCTAAATAAGAAAACAAAATTTAATTATTATTTTTCCCGCTAACCTCTGACTATCTTTAAAAAAATAAGTTCGCTTCGTGAAACAAGGTATAAAAAAGTCTTGCCTTAGAATAATGAATATTTCTGAAAAAAAACCACTTTATATTTAGTTAAAATAATTATAACTTGTACACATTTTATATAGTCCTTGTATAGTCATAATAATAACAAACAAAAGGGCATGATTTTTATCCTCACAATATTGGTACGATAACTAACGAGAAGGAAGACAAGGAAGGCAATGATAATGAAGATGGAAATGACGATACCGACGGCAATTACGACGTTAACGACAAAGATGATGACGACGACGATTCTGACGACGACAATGACAACGATAACATTGCGAAAATGGCGACGATAACGACGAAGATAATAACGACGACGAAACGGTAATGAGAAATAAATACAATGACAGTTTCGTCGAACAAGCTTAGGTATCATAGCTTTAACAATAATTAGTTGTATCATGTACCATACAGGTATACTGATATAATCCGCCGTGCTATGATAATTGTGTCATGAAGTTGTTATTGGTGTCAACGTCATTTCTCCGTAGGGGTTCCAGAAAATGCATTTTTAATTGGTGAAATTTGGTAGTGGGGATATTATCAAAAAATGTATTTCTTCGAAATCTCAACTAGATAATAATGACTAAGAGGTAAGTTTGAAACCCTAAGGAATAAGTAAGCATGTTAAGCAACCAATTCTGAGAATTTTAGATTACAAAATACATGAATTATAATATGGGATGCCAGAAGGGCAAGTATTCAACAGCTAATTGCTTCAAAAGTCCCTCATACATTTAATTCATTCAATGGACTATTTATAGATTATTAATTATGTAACACACTACTTGATTTGAATATTATATATTTATATTGCTCTATCGTATGTTTTGAGCACTTTCGTCTTCATGGCCTGGTTTAAGCTATATATATA